ATATAATAGTTCAGGTGGGTAGCTGCGTCAGCATGCGTAGGCTGCAAAGGAACAAGTAATAGGTTTATTCCATGCTGAAAAAAAGAAGAAAGAACACAACGTTTCGGCCGTGGAGCCTTCTTCAGGTGTCACATGATATATATAATATTCATGTAGCCCAGAACATAGCAGCTTCTACTTACCCCTAAACTACTATTTACAGAGTAGTTCTCACATTTGGGATAACTATTCCAATATGGGCTCATTCCAGCACATCACTATCTGTCCCCAGCTCTGTGCTGCAACACAAAAGTAAAAGATGCAGCAGCAGGGAGTCCAGCGCAGCTCTCCCACACCCTGCCGGACTCACCTGCGACGAAGGTGACCCAGATCTGCATGCCCCAGGACACAGACAAGACCAGCAGGTGGAAGACTTTCACCAGCTCCGTGGGCTCCCCCTCAGTCGCCATGGCCGTCGTCCCTGCGGACCGGGACGAGAGCACACCTGGTCCGTCACAGCGGCGGGTGTCCCGCGGAGCGCCATTCCCAGTCCTGCTGGGAGAGCCCCCCCCGCCTGCAGCCCCTCACGGCCTAACTGAAGCCTCAATGGAACCAACGAGTGGCTTCATTGGAAGATTTGACTTTTTGTCTACTCCAAGACTTGACTTAAGACACCCAGTCGCTGGAAGGCAACCTCCAATATGTTCAAGAGAAAATATTAATCCTGTCATCAAGACCATCAAAGGGGAACTGCAGTCCCAATTTCTCAGTCCGGTTATTAAATCTTGGTAACAAAATCAATTCATTAATGTTACAGAAAAATGACACAAATTTCAGATTAAGCACAGCATTATGAGTTTTGTGAAAGGTCTACAAGTTGTCATGTTGTCGCAAACTCGCTTTGAGTTCCTATGGATTGCGACGTGATGCAGCCTTTCCTGCTCACTAGTCACTGTACGATGTAATGTGATGTATGAGCAGGTAAAAATAGGGTGTGCAGCAGACATTTCACGGGAGAAATGTTCCCATGTGATCTGCATTCAGAGGTGACAAGTAGTATTTGTTGGCAAAACCGTCTCGAAGTCAAGAGCAATATTTCTACTGGATTAAAAGATACATCCACAAGGATGCTTGTTTACAGTGCGATAGGACTGCTTCAGTTCACCAGAGGTTTTGTTGCCTCGCTCTAAATCACAGAACATGGTGTTGTGCATACCTGGAAATGTCATCTATTTTGTGATGTAAATTGGAGGTTTAACATGTTACATGTGTACATTTTACTTTTATTGTCATGCACTCATCAATGCAGATTCTTTTCAAACCCAAAATATAAAAATAGCCTCGCAGTTCCCCTTTAAGCATCCAGTTGTGGAACTGAGAGCTGGGCTTGAGCAAAGACCAGCATGTGTGGGCATCCAACATTAGAATTAAACAGGGGCTCTGTAAAGCAGGAGATTGTTAATGGCCAGATCCGAAGGTATGAGCCCCAGCTAGCTTGCATGGCAGACGATGGCCAAGGGCCTGCCATTCCCAGGAGAATCTCAGGCAATCTGCTCCAACAAACGGCACTTCAGAGGAATGTTACAAACAGGGAGAGCCCCGTCTGGTAGTTAGCAGGTAATTGTTCAGAGGAGCTCATCCAGCTGTTTCTTGTAAGAAGCCAGAGCTTTGTCTTTAACAACAGCCTGTTCCATAATCCCACAGCACTCTGTGTAAAGAAGCTGCTCCTGTTCTCAGATTAAATGCACTGCTACCCGACTCTCTCTTATGACTGTCTAGTGTGTCCTCCCTGCCAATACTGAACAAGTCTGCTGGGCTGATGTTGTCAGCACCTTTGAGGGTCTTTCGTACTTGGATCAGGTCCACCCACTTGTTCCTTTTTCTGTTCCCAGATTAAAACCGTTCAGGTCTTTCCCCAACCTGAGTAAGAGCTTTCCTTGAGGCTGGGAAAGTGGCTGGGCAGTGTGTTCCAAACCTCACCTCCCACCTGTTCTCATAACCTTGCCATGCACCGCCATAAAAATAAAAGGGCGGTGTAGTGGGACTGTGGCTGGGAGGTTGCCAGTTCAAATCCCACGGTTGGCAGAGGAATCCTACTCCGTTGGGCTCCTGAGCAATTGAGCCCTGAACCTTAGCTGCTCCAGGGGCGCCGTATAAATGGCTGACCCTGTGCTTTGACCCCCAGCTTCTCTCCCCGTCTGCGTGTCTCATGGAGAGCAAGCTGGGGTATGTGAAAAGACAACTTCCTAACGCAAGAAATTGTATATGGCCAATAAAGTGATCTTATCACTCTCACTTTCCGGTTCAAGTCACAGAATGTGAGGCACCTTCGGACACACGGAGTGACCGTGCCAAAGCAGAAGCGCTCCAAAAGAACATAGGAGGACTTTTTTTCCCCACCCTTCTGAGCTGCTGAGCCAAGACGCTTGCAAAGGAGGTGGATCTCGGCGGGGTTGGGAGGATTATACACTTTGAGCGACTCGAGAAGCCTGCTGGGGTCCCTGCTGGTGCGTTTGTGTGCCTCTCGTGCTGACACATGCCACACACACACGCCAGCCCTATCTGAAGGGGACACACGGGGCAGCAGTGCTGCAAGGCTCAAGCACACCTGACAGCTCCTGATTACAGCCATTTCTGCCAGGAGAGAGCCTGACCTCCCGGAGATAAGAAACTCAGTTTCTCCCGTGATCATGACCAGCAAAGCGCCTGGGGATGCGGACCACGAAAACAGCTGTGTGCGTGTTGTGAACAGGTACCGTTCTCTTAAGGTGCAGCCTCGACTAAGGTGGCAGCGTGTTGCCTGAATAACATGGGACAAAACCAGCTGTCTTCTGTATTCAGCACAGGCTTGATGGAGGAACTGAGTATCTTCAGTCTTGAGCAGAGAAGACTACATGGACAAGTACAAGAAATCAGAGGACTTCTTCTGGATGAACAGCCAAACACAGGCCAGAGGACATGAGTGAAAGCTACAGGGAAGAGCATTAGAAGCTGAGAGCAGGTAGCAACAATTTATACAAAGGGTGGTGGGAGAGTGGAACAAGCTGCCCAGCCATTTTGCTGGAGCCGATGCGCTTATTTCCTCATTTACTTCAAGAAACAGCTGGATGAGATCCTGCATTAATTAGCTATGAACCACCACACGGGCTAGATGCACTGACTGGCCCCCTCTCGCTTGTAATCGATCCGAATAACTGCTCTTTGTTGAAAGGTGCACGTGTATTTTCGCTGTCGAACCTTTACTATCTTCTAAAGGAAAACGACAGTTTGAATGGGCGTCTATTCGCCTTTCAAAAGGAAAGCTCCGTCAGCCCAGACCCAAACAGAGCGCAATGTTTATTAGCAAAGGCAATGAATGCAACGTATACGTGAAACCGAGCGTCGCAAAGCTGAGTCAGCACGACACCGTTGCAGTCACTGTAAAACAAATGTGGTTTCTCTTCAGTAACAGAAACGGATTAAGTTAGGCTTAGTGATTTAACAACAACAACAACAACAACAACAACAACAAAAATCATTTTCCTGCCCAGTTTCTCGTGTTAAAATCCTAACAACAACACCACCACCACCGAGAGGTCGCATTCCGTTGTTCTAAAAAACTCCGTTCAACAGGCTCAGTTATACACTTTTTGTGTTGTGGTCAATATTACTGATTGGACGGTTGCCTTACGGTTGCCTTTGGTTTGGAAGAATTCCGGGTCAGTATGGACTTTGAGTTCCCTGAACTAGATCACAAATTGTTTGGTGCCATTCGAATCTTACGTTTACAGTTGTCAACTGGTCATTTCTTAATTACGGGCTACACAGTTTCGGGTACACTCTACGTCAAATTATTAGAAAGGCATACGTGATCTGTCGATTTTTTTTAACTCGCAGGATAATAAGGCGCCTATCCCGACAGCTAATGACAACCGAGTCCCTCGGATAGGAATAAAATTAAAATCAGAAACGAAACTTTGCAATACATCTGCGTCTAATTCCTCTTGGACACACTGTTATCAGACTGTATAACATTTTTAATTTAAAAAAAAACGTTTAAAAACGTGAGACAATTGACAATCCAACCGTAAAATAAAGGAGCAACTGAGTTTAACAGAATACTTACCAGTCCTTTGTAAACTTATAAAAATGTCTTTCTTTCGTCGGCAGAAGTCTTTTAAAGATATAAATTGGACATTAAACTGCAGGAGTCGTGCCCGCGCACCCTCACCTACCTCACCAATAGGACCCTTACCCCCCCGCCGCCTTCTAACATTAACGAATCAAATCTCTTTAGATTGAATATTAAACAGAGCCGTTCTTCACAGGAGCCAATCATACACGTAAACAAATTTCTTAATATACATAAACACGTCCCCCTCAGGTATGCCATACGGTGGCTCGTAGGACTCAGACTTCCTCTTTTCCAAAACGTTTTTTCTTTGGCTTTGTTTCCAGAAGTATTACAATTCACTATTCTTGCTTCTCCACGTTCTTTAATTTAGGTCAATGTCGTCTAGCTCCGGTCCTGGAGAATCTGTCTGTGTACGTAAATACAACAACCCCTGGAAAGCGGGAAGAAGTTGATAAACTGGTTAAATTAAACTAGTAACGAGGTGGGATGACCAGTACGCTGACTGAACCGCACTGATTCGAGACTATGAAAAAATGTCAGTCAGCTGGACCCTTAATCACGGAGTATTAACAAATGTACAACCTGCACTACAAAATGCCTTTGGATTAAACTGCCCCATCCACGATGGGGAAGCAGATTCAAAGGGATCGTCTCTGTGGGCGAGAGCCTTGGATTAATAAATTAGCGCAACCCAATGAACGAGATGGATCTGAATGGTCTCCTCTCTGCAACGTTTGCCTATCAACTTCTGTTCTTACCATCGTTTAATAGCGATGGATTTGTTAGTGCGCTCCTTAAAACCCTGCTGATAAATGTAGTTTGTTTGTTGACTCTGTGCTCCAATATACAGGGCATACTAACGCTTGAATAATATTTTTTAAAATGCTACAGCTGAATATGCTATGCTACAAAACAAATAAGTAACCCTTTACTGGGATGATTACTAATACTGTATTACTAATACAAGTGACAAACTCTATTGTACAGCAATACAACATTTTTTTAGCAGGAGCAATGGCCTGGAGGTAATAGTTTTACTTTCAACGAGTCTAAAAAAGCGTATTCTTGTTGTGCACGCCGTGTTTCCCAGGCATAATATGCATCGTGGATGAAGCAAACATCTGGATAATGTGCAGCCCATAAGCGAGACCACGACCTGAGTGGTTCTTTTATACATCCCAGACACACAGTGAGCAAGATCACCGTTAACAATCACCCACATGAACACTTGAGGTCGCAATCGGCTCTCGAAACCAGCCGCGCGAAGGTTTTCACTGGAAAACAAAAAGGGAAGAGGAATCCAAAATAATCGACAGGTCGAAGCGCCAATCAGAACACAGATGGTTTTACCAAGGTGACCAATCAGATTAAAGGTTTGGCGAAGACTTCCGGAATCAGATGTAGTTTCCTGTTTGTTGAGGCTGCGTGTGTTTGGGAAGATTAGGTAGACGTGATAAGGTAATCACTTTTTTAATTACGTTAATTGTTTTTAAAAAATGGCTGTCGTCGACCACGGCGTTTAATTAAAGAGCGAAAAAGTGTAAATAGCTAAACTAGGGAACGAGGGTGAGTAATATGTGATCCCCAAAGAATCGCAGCTGGGGACTTCACGACGAGATAAAAAACACCATGTGAGCGGTTTTAGATTATGAGCTTTAGCAATTAATTGTTGAGTGAAATTATCAATTCAGTTGTTTCCTTATTCAGTGGTAAGTAATGCGATGGCTCAAATTATTCTACATGGTCGTTAGGTCGCACAGCTCCTGTGGAAAGTGCTGAAATGTTTAATGAGTTACTGCAGTTTAATCTTTGAAATGAGCGCAATTTACAAGGCTTTTCTTCCGTTGTGGTTACCTAGCAGACACTTAAAGACGAAGCTCGGGCGATTACGTAGAGCGTAGAAACATGAAGATACAATAAATCCGTCGTTAAATTCTTTGTCATATCCGGACAACTGTTTTTTTTTGTTGGGTTCAGTCGGATTTCGTTTTTCGCTTTTGGAGTATCGGTTCGTGGAGTATCGGTTGCAACAGCACGAACCGTATCTTACTGTGTTGAGGCAGAACGAGTTTCGCCCTGTTTTGTAGGTAGTAGAGGACACGCTTTTCAAGTTGTGCTTCCACAGTTCTGGATACAGGGTGTACCCACGCGTCACAAATCTCCCAGATGATCCCCTTCTCTTTCAAAACATCGTGGGGGAAAAACTAGGATGTAATGGATAAAGAGGTATTGAAGAGTGCAATAGTTTAATGATGGGGCCCAGAGAAAACTGGGGTTCATCTATGCCTTGACGTATAGGCGAATCATTTGATAAATTCCTCTGTTCTAAAAAAAACGTGGGAGACCACTTATCTCGCCTACCATTAATGTATTGTGTTGTGTTAATGGGGTTGGCAAATGGGGAGTTTAGGAACCCCGATATTGTCGTTATAAGGGAAGTTTGAGGCTGGTGGGGTTCCTGCCTTTGCTGTATAAAAATTGCCCAACCGATATTCGGCTCTTCTCAAGCCTAAATCGTGGCTCCCATCTTATTTCCAGTTACTAAATTGGCCAAATTAATTCTTTGCCTGCAGTGCTTCTGACTGGGCTCTGATCTGTTTTGCGGGAACAGTTTCTTTACTGAAGTGTTTGAAGCACCCAGCTGTTAAAAATACTTATTTTTTTCAATAAAGAAAACAAGTCTTAAAAGTAAAATAAGCTTAGACTTAATTGTAGACAAAGTCAAAGTAAGAAACCAGGTTAAACGCCTGATGGACTTGGGACAAAAGCCCAAAGATGCTGAGATTCTGTGGACTGGCCTTGTCTCACTTCCTGCTGTCCCCGATTGGGACTTCCTGTGCTCAGCCTCGCATGCTGATTGTCTTTTCCGCCCTCCAGGTAGAAAATGGGCCGCCGCAAGTCGAAGAGAAAGCCCCCTCCCAAGAAAAAGATGACTGGAAACCTGGACACTCAGTTCACCTGCCCCTTCTGCAACCACGAGAAGTCCTGTGACGTGAAAATGTAAGGATCCGCATTACTGCTGGGGGGCCCAGTCCTAGAGTGTCTTAGATAGGGTCCCTGAGTGAATGACTTGTCAGGAATCATTTTTAGAGCAAGTATTTATTATGCTTCAGACCATCCCTTTTTTTTGGGTGCAGCTTGGAGGTAAGGTAGGAAATTTGTACTTGCGTGCAGCTTTGGAAAGGTTATGTGTACACATAACAGGGGAGCAACTTAGCAAGATGTTTTGACAGTCTTCTTGCTCACAAGTCAGGACACTACAGTCCAAGGGGTTGCCCTTGATTGAGAGACAGTCAATAATTAACGTTGATGGATCTCATATACTGAAGAGTGTAATAGTGTACTAGTGTGTCCTCGTAGAGAAGAACAGTGTCTTAACTGGAGATGTACAGACATGTCTTCTCGGGGGCTCTGTCTGTGTGCATGCTTCTGGATATCTGTATTTTTTTTCTCTCTGTCACAGGGAACGAAGTAGAAACACCGGGATCATATCCTGTACAGTTTGTTTAGAAGAGTTCCAGACCCCTATAACCTGTATCCTTTACAAACACCTGCATCTGTCTGTTCTGTGCTCTACAGGAGCTGGATAGTCTCTTTTGCCAGTCTGCACGGGATACACCAGTGCAGAGAAACTCTGCCACCTTTTAAATCCAGCTGGAGTTAGAGTAGATAGCGGTTCTCCTATCCTGATCAGCAGGTTGACAGATTGTAGCATCATGACTGAATCGGAGATCGAAGCTAGGAGACTAGGAGACTAGGTGGCACTTTGAGTAAGGAGAAGTACAGGCTCCAGCTCTAACACAAACCTTGCTGTGTGTCAAACTGCCAAGCCTCCTTGTACTCTTCCTTCACATGAGAAACAGATCAGGTTAGAAGGGACTTTAAAAGAGTAGGTGCTGATGTTCAGTTTGTCCTTTAATTTCATTCATGCTCCGTGTGCAGTCTATATTCTCTTGAGGTTTGGGCCTGCGTCATGTCACTAGCTGTGACTGGGTTTCCCCAGTTGTACTCTCGACGGTAAAGGTAGGATCAGTAGGACAGGGACTCCTGCCTCCTTTTGTTTGAAATATACAAAAACCACAACTGTACCATGATGGTGTCCAACAAGAAATAGTAGGCTACCTGACTGGCATCCATCCAGTATCAGATATTCCTTAAGAGGATTGCATTAGACCTTAATTAACTCAACAAGCTTATCTTCTGGTGGCGAGAGAAGCCTGTGAGGCATCAGTCAGTTCCTATTTTCTTACCAGATTTCTACATCTGGAATGGGAGGGGGAATAAAATCAGTCCATTTCTTTAACGATGTCGTCAGATCTCTCGGAACCTGTGGATGTGTACAGCGATTGGATAGACGCCTGCGAAGCAGCCAATCAGTAGCAGGCCCTGGACGAGGGGGTGTGTCCTGAAAAAAGGAACTGTTGCAGAGCTCTGAATTTCAGTCTGGGAGAGAGATTCACAGATGATTATAAAACTGAACTTGTCAACTGGGGTTAATAACTTGCCCCTGACCTTCAGTTGTTACTGTAAATTCCGCTCTTGCCTGTGGCTCTGCAGGACTGGATTCAGCCAGTAGCGAACTAAAAAGAGTTTTGAGGAAACCATGGCTTAACAGCCATTTACTGTAGGCAAGCCTTGCAATTTAGAATGTTTTTACAAAGTTCAAATTCTATATTTTCTGTAAATGAGGTGCTTTTGATTTTTGGTAATTCCATAAAATCAGCCAAATTGTGTAATCATTAGTTTCTCTTAAGTCTTAAACAAAATGCATTACTTTTACTTTTCTTTTGTATCTCTGAATTACCTGTGAGTGAATGGTCCATTTTCATTTTTTTAAAGATGCCTTTTGTCTAGAGAGGCTCATGCAGACTCATTGGTGGCATTTACCATTACCATCAACTTAAGTACAGAAAGTGAAATATGAGTTTTCTTTGTGTGATAAACAGATGTTGAATAAATTATCTTCGCAATATGAAACAACTGATTGTCAGATCATGATGTAGAATAGTCTTGTACCCAGTGCTTTTGTATACACGAATGATCAGCGCTGCTGGACTGTAATGTTAAACTGTGGAAGCAAATCTAGGACTATTCTGAATTTAAAAACCCACAGCTGATTTTGTACAGAAATTACGTGATTAAAGGGGATTGGAGTTTTTAGTTTATGACTCTGTTGTGACAGATGAAATTTGACCAGCCTCTGCCTATGACGACAATTAGCAGATCTAAAAGCTGCTTTAGCTCATTCCATGAACAGGTAGTGTGTATGGCACCTGCTTCTCAATTATTAAACCCCAGAGTTTGTAATCAGTGAATTAACAAGCTCAGGAACACAGGACACGCCTTGGTTGACCAGGGCTAGAACTGTCCAGTACACAGTACCAGCATGGCCTAATAATTCTGCTGTTAATTTTAATCAAGTCAGGTGTCAGAATCCACCCGAGTTTAATCTGTAACACTGAACACCATCCCGTTTTAATAAGGTATGGTGAGTTCGTGCTCAGCCCACTACAATTCCCAGAGCACAGCCTGGCCAGTTAATAATGTAACAGATGTGCAAAGTTTCAGACCACGAAATATACACTCAAATAATATGGATTGTTACATTTTTTATTTAATTCCACATTAGTGCAAACGATCAGTCTTATGATATATTTAATCCTGTAATTTAATGTAATTTAATTTAATGTGAATTGAGAAATTCCTTCAACAGGCTTTCCCATCAGATTAATCTGATGAATTTTTTAACCTTTCCCCAGAGTACGGAGATCAGTTTCTCCCCCCAATCCCCTTTTTAACAGCCCATCATCAAAATAGGTCTTGGATAAAGATACTTAACATTTTACTAATAAACAGGCCTGTTTCCAGCAAATATTTCGGCAACACTTTTTTTCCCCCACATAGTTCATCAGGGCCGCTGCTCCACACCGGTGCTTTACGTTGGGAACTGTGTAGGGAAATGAAGTTGACCTGCACCTGCGGGCCCGAGTGCCACTCACCAGGATCGCCACAGCAACAGTGCCGCTGGTGACCGATAGACCTGTCCAGGTTGTGGACCAGGGGACGTGTTTGTCTGTATCGAGAGGCTCTCCAGCGTGGATCAACCGGTAGTGCCAGTAGGGCTCCCTTTCTTAGCTTTTAGTAGGTCATCACATTCCCTCATGCCCCGTGTTTATAGTTTTCCACTGTCCTTGAGCTCCTTTTCACTGGAAGACTAAGTGTCAGGTCAGTGCCAAATATTTATCGCTAAGCACCATTAGCTCACGAGGAGGCCTTGTTCTTCCGTCCTGTTTGGCGATGAGTGACAACCGTGAGCACTCAGCACTCCAATTGTTGAGCACCCACCTTTATAGACTAGGACACAGGTAAAATTGCTTAGTGAGGTAGATTAAAATCCGTGAATAATTTAATCCTTTCTAGGGCCTTCTAGCTACAGGCTGTTTCTCCTGAGCTTTGTACCACAAATGCCAAATTTTCCTGACTTTACTTTCTAAAAATCACTTAACGGCCCACAAAGTTGGATCAAAGAGCTTACACACAAAAGATGACCAGTTAACACTTTAAAGAACAATGGTCACCCCTTGTCCGAGATGAGAGCACTGGGCGCGTGACGAATGGACAAGAACAAAATGTTGGGCTCTGAAGACAGGAGGAAGAATTATTCAAACAAAGAGAAAATCGAGGAAAAAAAAACAAAACAAATGCAGAAATTTAAAAAGTGTTTATTAACATTTAACATTCTCATTCCTGGTGAAATACAAGGACCACCTATTTTGAAAACTGACCAAATGTCATCGCAGCAACAGCTGTCAACTTCTATATTAAGACTTTCAAGGTTGGTTGAATCATCATTGTGGAATTTCGGTTTTAAACTGCTACACATATTAGTGCTCTGCTTATGTGGTGCTACTGGGTTTCATCAGCTCAAGAAATCCTGTGCTGTGATCAGTCACAAAGCTGTATGGATAAGAAGAATTTTGACTAGAGGTGTTGAAAGGAAATGGTCACCATTACAAAGCTGCTGATAAAGATGGCAAACATTAGAGCTGGAAATCCTATCCTTCTATACTGCCTGTTTCCCAGGCAACCAATTCAGATAACATGTGTGCTCCCCCACTCGCCAGTACAACGGCTTTTATTTAGAAATGTTAACAAGATGCACATGAAATAACCAATGCAATAGGATACTGTGATGACAACTTGTCTAGGGAAGTTCACACCCACAGACGGCAGCCTGTGACCCCTGGCTCCACAGCCAAGCACAGATGGCCGCTGTCTGACCCTGCCGTTCCCGTTGTACTGTGCAGGATCACTACAGCAACAGCACATCCTCAGCAGGGCGAGTCTAAACCAGACTCATCAAGGGTCTAGCCCAGGTCACAGACAGATCACACTTCACAGTGCTTGCTGAGGGCGCGGGGGGGAGGGGTGTGTAGCTTAGAGTTTGGGGTTCATCTTCAGAGTTAACCACAGACTCGCAATGCAGTCTTGGGGTGGGGATTCGGCAATGGTAAAAATCAAATGACTTTGGATTGCACAACTGATCAGGAGCCACCATATCTCCAATTCACAACACTTCCCTTCAGCCCAGTGCATTGGCACTGTAGGGAACGGAGCGCCCTCTAAAGACAAAACAAGGTATCTCCTGCTGGGCAAAATCACACTGTCCGCTCTGACAGAACTGTAACTGAGTGTGAGCCTATGAGCAACTTTTTGAAGGGGCAGACTTTTGGGGGGCAGAAAGTATTAGTACTTGTTTTTTTTTTTGTCTGCTCTTTACCAGTGCAGCCAAATCAAATAGTTTTGCAGAATGTTGAGAATTTTGAGTCAGCATGCAACAGAACAGAATTTAGAGATGAAGGCTTCTATTGCATTGGTCTCCAAATAGTACAGTGTCACAGCACACTACTGCAGCAGCCTCTTGGATAGGAACATGCAAAGCCATAACACGAGTTTCAATGACACTGCAAAACAGTGATTCATTAACACATGAAATGAATACATGAATCTCATTCTTGTGGATGTCTTGATGGGTTACAACAGCTGAAAAATGCAATAGTAGGATCAACACAGAAAGCCTAGCCTTTTGCTGTAAAAGCTGTCCAGCCCATAAAATAAATAACCACACCATATGAATTAGAAGTTCTACAAGGGACAGACTTTTCAGCCAGTCTAGTCTGACCAGATGTGCCTGGCCATATTGAAGCAGGAGTTCAGATAGTACATTTTCACAACTTTCCCACCCACTCTTGGTGATAGCTTTGTGTACTTTGCAAATTTGGATGGATAGACTTCTATAGACATTCAGAACTACGCAATGCACGTTAGGAATTCCCCCTTTTCCAGCACCAAACCAGCAAAACGGTTTCAGACACAAGGTGGCAGCCTTGGGCTGCTTTAGGGAAACGAACAGTTGTTTTAACACAGCAGATATGTACACACAGATTTCCCCCTGTGTAAAAAAAAAAATTTAGAATGCGGATTTCACAGGATCTCAAGGAGCTCTGTGAAAGAAAGGAACTGTGACTTCACCATCACTGTTTGCACCAATGCACCATGTTTACATGGGAACCATATACATTTTAACCCCACCTGAGCTACAGAGTTGATTTCAACAAACTAATGGCACACTGGTCTGTTGTATTGAGTTTAAAAGAACACGTTGCTAAATTCTACAATTATTATTAAAGCAGATTACTGTAACTGGCATCAATTAAAGCACATTCTGTCACCCTCTTTAAAGTCACCAGAACCTTCGTGAACCTTCGTGAAAACGTGACTTCATGTTTCAAATCCAGACCTTCGCACTTGACAGTCTGCACGGATGCATGGGAAGATGCACGAAACCTGGCATCTATCTGCGAGTGATGTCAGATTGTCATCACTGCGACAGGATAACTGCTGCATACAGGGACCTCTCTCTAAATCTGTCACTGTACGAACACCTGAAGATAGCAGATCTGCTCTGTCAGTGACGTGCAAGTTAAAGCTAATCAATAGCTGTAATTGTGTCCTGTTCCTGCCTACAATTCTAGGTATAGGGTGTTATTGCCTAAAAATGGGCACTGTTTTGCACAGGACGCAGTACCATCTCCAGATACTGGGTCAGTTCAGGCCAAAAAATGCAGTTGGATTCTCCGTGCTCCTTCCAGGCATTTATAGAATTCCACCCACTCAGTACAAACATCATGCGCATCACTAAGACCCCTGGGAGCTGAGGTCAAAGGTCAATGTATTTGTGGGAGAAAACATGGTTAAGGGGGAATGTCTGGAACACAGAAGTCCAACTCGCTTCCAGGAAGGTCTTTGGTTTTTGATTTGTGTTCCAACCCAATGTAAATTAAAATAATTCGTATAATTATTTTCTTACTGAGAGGCACATAGGGGGTTTTCTTAAGATCTTTTACAGCTGATCACTCAAAACATTCACTTCAGCGAAAGTTACCCAATAGAACATTTTGGAAATACTACATCTTTGCAATTAAACGATCAGAGGCACCGTGTGTGTCTGAGATCTTGGGTGGGGAAAAAAAAAGCAAGTAGTGTGTCTGAACAAGTAGTGCCATTTTGGTATGGTGACCTCAGCTTGAGTGAAATTGACTTCTTTTGGAGGTAAAGGATGGGGCAGATCTTATATTATCCGGCCCCTGTTTTGGATTAAAGAGATCAAGATCCCTATTGCTGAAGTTCTTATGGGCGGATTGCATGTTCTGCAAAAGATAAGGTCCGCTAACAGCACAGCAATTAAATTGCGAGATCTCCACACCTAAGAAAAGCCAGGTTGGTATTTTAGAAATCCGAGGACAAAGAATTTGTTGGGGGTAACGCAGAAGCAATTCCATTAGAATGTTCCCACACCACTGAGCCCTCCACCAACACAATCAACAAGGCTGGGGATTAATCTACTGTACTCCAGACAGGGCTTCAATAATCACAGTAAAATCTGGGTTTTAAAAACTAAAATACTTGGCAAGTATGGATTATTTTTTGGTCACTTTTAAAAATCTTTCAATACTTTAAAACAAAGTTAAAATCACCTACTGACAAGAGCCAGAACTAGAAATGCAGGGAGGAGTTGGGAAGGAGAGAGGAAGGGATACTCGCCCTAGCGCCCACGCCAGTATGAAAGGCGGGGCAGGGCGGGTCGGATCGGGCTGGGTCCGACGCCCACGCACGGCTCTAGTCGGAGTAGTTCTGATAGCTGGAGTCGTGGTCGTAGGCGTTCTCGCCGTCGTCAAGGTAATCCGGGGAGACGCAGTACTTTCTGTCGAAGACCTGACGCGGGAGCCCGTAGACGGTCATACCCTGCTGCGATGCCATCTTGTTGGTGCCCATCTGCAGCGAGACGGTGCTGGTGTCGCACTTCTCCATGCCCAGCTTCTGGTCAAAGATCTGCCGCTTCGTGCCCGGGGCGGTCATGCCAGACTGCAGGGGGCAGAGACAGGAAAGTGTCACTTTTGACCCGAGGAGCCACTTCCTGTCTGCACTCTTTCCCTCCTCCACCTTTGCCCCAGCCCTGCCTCTCACACTCGTAATCTGCTCTCCTTCTGTTGCTGCCCGAGCTTGTGGGAACTCAAATCTTCCTGTTCAGAATTTCCCATGTTTCGCCCTGAAGCAGCCACCCAATAGGTTTTTGCATGTAGGGCAGCATCCAAGCTTGTGAAGCACCGTGCTCGCCCGCTTGCCCCTCATAGCCCTTCATCTGACAACATCACAAGCTCATTGGAGCATCTCATTGACATCACCTCCAGCCTGTGGAACCCTGGGAGTTTCAGGAATTGCTGGTGTCCAACCAGCTGGTGTAGACTCGCTAAATCAAACCCATTCCCTACAGCAGCATTAGGCCAAGCCGATAACAGCCGATAACAAGGCTCACAGTGGGCACAGATGGGTAAAGACTTGAGGCAAGTGGGTTACTGTTGTGTTTGTGCTCACCTGGTTTGCTCCCTTGTTGGTGCCCATCTGCAGGCTGATGGTGCACTGGTCCATGGGCTTCTCCACACCAGTTTTGGGGTCATAAAGGTGACGCCGAGTTCCGTACGAGGTCATGCCTTTTTGGCTGGCAAACTTATTGGTGCCCATCTAGAAAGAAGGTTGGGGTGGGGGGCAAAGGAAAAGTGTCATTCTCTATGCATAAGCAGAATGCTGGAAGCTGGGTGAATGTCCCGTGAAATTCAGGTAGAGAGTCACATTTAACAGGAGGTTCCTTGCTCAAGTCCCGGCTCTGTCACTAACTCACCCCGTGCCACCCTGAATGATCTGCCAGACCTCCTCATGCCCCTGTGCTTTGGGCAGGTTGAAACCAAAAGCGTTACCACTAAGGCAACACTCTGGCTATGGGCATTGATGGAGGGTTGGTCCACAAGTCTTTACAAGTCCTCTCTGGACAACAGAACAGGCTGCAAGATTAGAACCACCTTCTCTAGAGGTTTGATTCCCACCCTTCCCTATCATTCCCTTACACAACTTCACAAATGCATCACACACATCTATCAGATAGTCCTTCTTTTCCCCAGTCCAGACAGGGCTCTGACCTGCAGGCCGATGACATTGCGCCCCTCCTTCAGCTTCTCAGAGTTGAAGCGGCGCTGCTGTTTCTCCGCGTATTTCACCCCCATGTCGTGCTTCGTGTGGAAGCCCTTGGTCCTGGCCTGATGGAGTGGAAGAGCACAAGTCACGCCAGCGGCTTCAGTCTGCCCTCTGGTGCCCACAAAGGTTATTGCATGCAAGTCTGGAGACAGGCTGTGCCTACAAACCTTCCACGACAAATGGTCAGGAGCTGACTAGCTAGAGGTTAAATCTCATGAATCGTCTTGGTACAGGGGTGAAATCAAGATGATTCATGGCACCTTTGCAGTAATTATTACCTACTGATTGGATAAATTATTTGTATCTCCCTGAACACAGCTGTTGAGCTGTCCAAGGAAAAAGAACATGAAGATTGCAGTTTATTACAGAGAGATCCACCTATCTTTCCTTTTCCAGGAAGTGGTTATCCACAAAGGGGCATGCTGTGTCAGAGTAAAGGGTCACAAGGCAGGGCACACTTGCATTCAAGGGGCAATTCTGAAATGGAACAAGTAACCCAGATAGCATGAAACCTGAGCACCCAGCAAAAAACAAAATCCATGTCAAGGCAGGGAAACCGTGCAAACTCCACACAGAAAGTACCCAAGGCCAGAACTGAACCCAGGACCCCTGAGCTGTGGGGCTACTACACTCACTACTAACTCACTGCACCACCCCTCATCGAGGCATTTAAAAAATCTGTACTATTTTGACAATATGCCTAATCCCTCAGTTTGTGGTCTTCCGATATCCCAATCTGTTTGCTGTCCTAAGTGTGCAGATTAAAAGAGCCAAGTATTTTTGAACAGAGGAGATTGCAGCAGGATCTGATACAGTATTCAAAATGTTGGAAAGAAGGGGCAGACAAAGAAGGAAGTCAATTTTGTTACCCCAGCTGAGGAACTGTGGACAAAAAAGGAAAAAAAAATTGATGCTATTACATCCCCCAACTACACCTTGGAAGTCTTTGAGGCCATTTCTTTCAGTCAAAGGTTAATAGCGCATGAAATCAAAGCCACCAAACAGCCAGCCAGAGAAACAGTATTTTGTCCGTCTTACCACTCCAGCCAGGGCGATGAGCGTGCTCTGAACCTGTGTGTAGTTGAAGTTCTCAAACAGGTCGTTGGCTTCGAAGATGTCGTGCTGCTTCACACCGTAGTCCGTGATGGCTTTGATGAAGTTCCCGATGTTCTCGAGCTGCGCAGGGAAAGAGAAACACACTCATCATACATCATCTTTGGACAAATAAATTAAAAAGCCAAGAAAAGGAGGCTTTCCAGCCCTGGTCCTTTTAAAGCCACAGGGTATTTGGCTCACATTCCAGTAAATACAAAACACCTTAATTGGAGCTGAGCATTTGCTCAACGAATCCAAGTTACACATTGTTTTGGAATCAAAAAACCACAACCAAAGTAAAAGCATGATCATCACACAAAATGCCCTGATACACGCACACACAGATTAAAAGGCACAACAAAGACATGCCCAGTTTGTAATTTGCTCAGTTTAAGACTTCAAAATCCTTACAGATAGCGATAAAGAAATTGCTTCAGCATCAGTAATGTCGAACAGGGAACAGAAGACATATAGTACAGTTAGTGGTGACTGAGGAAGACGTTCATTTCATAAATGAGGCACATCTCTACACAAAGGGTGGAAAGAGTATGGAACAAGCTATCCAGCCATGTTGCCACGTGGGAGTTCTTCAAGAAATGGCTCATCCAATAATCCCATCCAATTAGCTGCTGGCACTCTAATGATCTTGGATCTGATAGCCCTCCACCAAATACAATACTCTTCTACATCACCTCCTCCTGTTTGTATCCTTTCTCATGTTTGAAAGAGAAGATCTCTGACCAGGATGCTACAGATCCAGGACTGCAGGGCTCTGCTGTAGAGGAAGCAGGAAGGAGCTCATGGATTAACAAACCTGATGCCAGTTCTGGGGAGAGTTGTTGATCTTTTTAACCGATCCTGGCTGAAGCTTGTTGATCAACCTGTGAAAAACAGAGTCTTGATCAAGTATTGGTCAATCAATACAGGAGCCATTACAACCAATTCCAGCCAAGGAGCTGGGGACAGCAAGCCAATCATTTACTTGATGGATTATTAATGTATTTAGCTGTGCAATGGAACAGCGGACTATACCAAAGGTCTGCTCTGGACTGGGTTAGACCATCCTGCAAGTAGATTCCTCTGGATTTAATATTATTGAAGTAGTGTCTGGGTCCCTGACACGCTGTATTGTCCAAACAAATGTGCAAAGCAGGGTGACGAATGACATAAGAAGCAAATCAGTCATTTTTTGTTTTTATAAGAGCATGGCCTTTACCTGCTCGGCTAGCATTCTAAATACCCAACAAAACAAACCTAAGTCTGATTAAGTTTCCAGTCTAACCATTTATCGATCATTAACTGAATATGAATAAAAAACATAAACCAATGTCAGGGACCTTAAGTTTCTGAAGTCCTCCAGCATTTTAAAGTTTTTCTTACTACATAATAGGTTGTCAGTTATGTAGTGGGGTCTCATTGACACCCAACTGTGATGCCTCTCCCGTGACTCTGGTGTTTTATAGGTTACTGTTCCTTTAGAGCAGTGAGTATTTTGAGTATTCAGGATTTTTCCATGAGGTTTTTTTACATCAGACTACAAAAACAATTCGATTTAATGGACTGCTTGGGGTACAGAACACCCTAGGTTCAACAGGAACCGAGTTTGAGATCGCTGTGCTACACAAGGTATACTAGCATCATGCTAAAGTCAGTCTGAATTTCCAGCGTTCTTAGATTCATGAGTGATTAACCTGTTTCAGGAATTAGACCACTTTTTAAAGTTACTTTTTCCTAATCAAGAACTGTTGGAGATTTTACAATCATTCATAAATAGTTGTAATTGTTTTTGAAGAGGACACCAAATAAAGGTTTTGTTGGTCAAGCTATTTGTTCAGCCCCTGAGAATCCAGCTGACACAGGAGCAGGGCTGGGAAGAGCTGCAGTGAGATGCTGTCCTGTTGTGCTTTTGCCAATTCACAACTCTGCTCTCAAACCTATGGCCGGCTGTGTGCAGGCAAGGTTTTCACTGGGAGCAATGGCAAACACTGACTTTAAGCTCATGGCATTTTTTACTTTTGTTTTGGCAAGACATAATGCAGAGAGGAAGGGAAAAAACAGGTTCAGCTGCAGCAGTATAGGAGAATCACAATGCGTGGCCAGCTAGCTTGCTACAAATACCTGCCAATAAAAGGACTTCTCCATTTGAACAAAAAAAACAGCTCAACTGGAACTATAGAACTCACTCTGTTTGGTGATCAGGAAATCCAATTGGCTTCTTGCAAGTGAAAACCCCCTGCTTTCACTTTTTTTTTGCATTAAGTACAGCAGTTGCAACCCAAATAGCACTCACAATACTGATTCCCCAGGTGGGTGTATGATTGTGCAATCGGAAAAAAATATCTAGGCCGCTCCAAAGCCTATTGTTTAACTTCCAGGATTTCAATGTCACCTTGCAACAATTACGAGCCTCTGTTTGGAATTTTTCTAAGGTCTGACACCATTGCTAACCAGCAGCAGAGAGTTCCCCTTAGCTACACCTGAACTTAGACACTCCCTGCCATTCTCGGGACAAATTTCACTTCTCCTACTCATCCCACGAACTTACTGCAATCCCCTCCTTTTCTCCATTTAATTAACGCAACCTCCCATTCTGTTGGAATGTTCTCTATTTATTGCATTTTGTTTTCAGAATGAAGGATTTTACTCTTTAGGAGCAAATTTTGCACCCTCACCACCCTCTTGGAAAGTAACACTCGGCTCCAGGGGTATTTGGTATGAAATGGCCCTTAACTTGGAACGATTTGTTTGTGCGGTTTTGAGGTACACCAGTCTCCCCTACTCACTCGCACAAGATGACTCCCTCCTTCAGGCTTTCCATGAAGTTGTCCCCGATCCTCCGACCCGTCACCTCCTCGATCCAGAGGCGCAGCTCCTCCTCCTTCTGGGGGTCATACTTCTGGGCCAGCTGGGGTGACAAAGGTCAAGGGTCAAAGGGAATTCAGGAAGAAAATCCGTGGAGTGCCCTGTGCAGTTTTTGTCAAAACAAAATTAAACCTGGTGCCAGAACCTTTTTCTTCTGCAAGATGCTGGTGACCAAACAAGATGTCACAATTCATAACTATAATCCTCTTTTCCCAGTTAGGCTTAAATCTAAAACACATCATTCTTACTCCTCCTGAGTTAACAGCTTTGCCTTGGAGGCTGAGCTACTGTGAATAACCAGGGATGTAATCCTGTATCATCACTGGGCTTAAGATCAGTGCTTCCCAGCTCTGCTACTGGAGGAACAGTCTGCTAGGTTTCATTCCACCCAGGAACTACATCTGCAAAATTATTTAAATAGTTATTTCAGACTAAGCAGCTCTTACTGGTTGATCAATTGATTGAGACATGGGTTGGAATGACACCCATAATGAGAAGTTTTTATGTCTGCTGCGGTGGAATTGGTTACATTTCAGGTAACACCCCTGATTGAGGGCAGTGCTGAAACTCAGAAATCGGTACAAGGTTTATACCAATTACAAGCCCCATCTGACCTCTGGAGAGCTGAAAACCAACATGCAAATCTGCCCCAAACACACAGATAAAATAAATTAGCCTGTGATGAACTCAGCTAAAGCAAAACCTAGAATAGTGTTCCTCCAGGATCCAGGCTTTGGATTACAGAACCTGGCCCTGAGAAACCCTAGACCTTGAGGACTTCTTCTTCAAATCCTAGTGCTTCACAGATCCCCTAACAAACTCTTGAAAGTGAGTGCCCAGCGAGTGGAGCAAAGGCTCAGAGCACTGTGGTCCAGACTGTCCAGATCTAGGCTGGGCGATGTCGTTAACTAGCTGATACCAGGAACCCCCCGGCTGCCTAGTGCTGCTGGGATGGGCTAGGCTGCTTGATGAGGGGGAACCTCCACAGTGACCCTGAAGCCCTCCACAGTGGACAGTGGGGTAACGCCCTGCTGGTGCCACCTCACCCGAAAGGCACTGAGGAGCTGACCTCCCATCTGATTGCAGGTGGGCAAACAGTGGGCACAGGTTGGCAAACAGTCTTCATCCTGCTGGTGCCGATTCAGAGCTTGTGAAAGCGAGTGCACCTATTCCAAACTGGTAAGTTCGGGATATCCCCCCAAAAATGGCAGTTCTTATTGATAAAAATAAAAAATCTGAAAATGCAACAAAGAGAACCAAACACCCTGTGACATTCGCTCAGCGCGAAGCGTGGTCTGCTCTTCCTCGTTGCCGCACGAGACCCCCATTAATATTTTGAAGTTGGCAGTCACCCCCAGCCCCTCCTCCCTCCGGTGATGCTTTTAAAATTCCTCCCTTTTTTTTCTTCTGACGGGGGAAGAGCACAGCCAACACAAACAGGTAGTCCAAAATCCCAACTGCACAATCCAACACACCAAACTTGGGAGAAACAGCTCCTGGCTGCAGCCCGGCTCATCAAAAACCTGGCCTTTTACAGCTAAACAAAACTCCCAGCTCTCCACTGCTGCCAAGCGCGTCTGCTGTTGTAATCTGCACTCGCAACCAACAGAGTTTTTCCAGTTACAACCAAGGGCGGGGGGGCTTTCACGGTCAGAGAAATTCAATCAGATTCCTTTGATCCAGCTTCTTTGAAGCAGATGGGCTCGGAAAACACCCCTCCCCTTCCTATTCCAGCCATCTTTTAAAAGAGCAGATGTATTTTTTTTTTACTTGATAAAAAAACCCCAAACACAATACTGTAACGACTGCCATTGGTTAAACGGCTCAGAGCACCGCCCCGTCCTTCATACATTTGGCTGTTAGTGGGCTCAAGACTTAATTGCCATTCACTCATTTCTTGTGCTGTTGAACCACGAAGGAAACAAGTATTTGACCTCAAGTGGTTTGTTACCTTACAACAGAGCTGCAGGACTGTTTCTTACAACACAGTCCGGGACGTCCTAACTCGTGCTGGTCTGCGCTCCAGTCCAGCTCTCAGCTGCACAATTAAACCCTTAATTGACTTAATAATAGGTTTCATGATCGTTTCCAGCTCTTACAACATGTTGGTGTTGTATTTTTTTTTTCTGCATTTCCAAAGCAAATAAAAATGTAAAACTTGCAAATCCAATCAATTAACTCATTGCTTCAATTAAGCGATTAGGTTCGGCTGGAATGGAAATCAGCAAAGCAGGTGTTTGTCTGGGACCAGAACTAGGAGTCTCCAATGTTGTGTGCGCGCTCTGGGAAGGAAATAAAAAGGTCTGATGGCGACAACGTATGGCCAAGCAAACGATACAAGAGCTACATTTGAACATTAGGCTGAAGAATACCCAGTTCACGTTAGATCTGCAGATAGGAAGTGATGGGGTGAGGGCACATTTCCAGCTGCCTCATCTCTGCAGAGGCAGGTAAAGGGGTCTGATCTATGATCGACGCCCGCAATCCACAGTCCTTCTGCAACGCTGAGTGTTCAATCTCAATCAAGGGGGAATTCCAGGCTCCAGCATGTTCCAAACTGTTTACACCAGGTCACAGCTTAAAAGCTTCAGCCGAGTACGCCGATTCCTTATAAGGCGCCCGATGGGGCCGAGCACCTGCTGGCCTGGGACCCATCAGAGAGACAGCGGGACGCAGCCAGCTGGCTTCCTAGGGGAGAGAGACTCGGCACTGATGCGGGGGTGTGCACAGAGCCCCTGGCTGTACAGAACCTGGGTTCTGTGGTCGCTGATGTTGCTTTACCAGCAAGGACAAAGATGACGAAAAAGACTACAGACTCTTCGTTTTGATGTCTCCCTTACTCCTTCCTACCAAAGGTAATGGGTGGGAGGGATCATTAAAGGACAAATGCTGCTGGAAAAGGCAGAGGTCAGAGGCTGAGAACTGGAATTCCTAGTATGAATAGAATAGAAAACTATGAATGATAACTCGGATGCTGCTAAGGCACAAGGATCTGGGTCTAGCATGGCTGGATCCTGCAGATATTAATATAGGGGGGCTCAGACGGTCAAGTCCTGGATAGTCGGGAACCCTCGGATATCTCATAGCCGATTTACTTCATCACCACATGCATCACCATAGCTGTGATGTGTCTATCCTGGCTTGGAGGGTTTTTAATTAAATGAAAAACTGATTATGCCCTGTAAATAATAAATGTATATAGCGCCATTAAAAAATGGCTTCGCAAAGTGCTTTACAGAAAAAAAAGATACATAATGAGAGGAGACAGTAGAATTACAATTACAATTAGTGTTTGGAATACAGTGGGAAAGTAATGGGGCAGACAGAACCAGTTACATAAAAGCCCTTCTAAAGATGGTTTTGGGTTTTGATAAACTTCCAGAGCTTTAGGGCATAGCAGGAGAAGGCACTGGCACCCACAGAGTGTAGACAGACTTGGAGGACATATAGGAGTCCAGAATTAGAAGAATGAAGGTTGCAAAGCTAGGAATAGGATGATACTAACAAACAGGTACTAGACAAGAGCCTTATAAGTAGACATGAGGATTTTGAAGTTAATCTGAAATCTGACGGGAAGCCAGTGCAAACACTCTAGAATAAGACTAACATGATCACTTGCACCAGACCTGGTCAGGATTCTGGCTGCTGAATTCCAGACATACATTACTATAGCTTGTTCACTGTGGATTTAAAAACCCCAGCGAGTAGGGAGCTACAGTAATCATTTCCAGAGAAGATGAAAGCGTTGATCAGCCTTTCAGCAACAGTTAGCAACAATAAAGGATGTTAGTCTGGCGATATCCCACCTCAGAATAGCTATAAATGACCTTTAGAAAAATCCTATACATATCAAACAAGAAAACAATGAAAAAGAAATGCACTAGGACCTCTAAGAATTAAATTTGAGATATCCGTTTTATAGATTTTTAACCCATCATTTACATGTGATAAATGTTTTAAATAAATACAAATTCAGGGTGCAAAGCTGGCCATGGGCCCTTGAGGAGGAAATGCTTGGAGGTCTTGACCCGATGGTATGGATAATGGTATACATCTTTTACGTATTGAATTAGTCCTGGACAGCATGCCGCAGTGCAGCCTCACAGCTTTCGGGTCCTGGCTGTGATTCCAGGGGCCTTCTGTTTGAGGTCTGCATAATCTACCCTCACTTTCCAAGGGTTTTCAACAGAGGGTTCTTAATTGTCACCTTCATTGTGGTCTTCTGATGGACTGATGCCCCCCTGATATCAGTGTACAAGAGGTCATGCTCTCAGTTCTGCCTTGTCCCCTGTGCTTCAGGGATCAGTGTATCTGCTTTTATCCAGCATCACCTGTAGACACCAGTCAGTATAGAACAGCTCACAAAAATTGATTTTAAATCTTCTCTGAAGGATGCAGCTCAAGAAAGCTTGAGAACTTGCCAAGGGTCAATGGACAGAACCCAAGTCTGGGCTCTTTCAGCTCTCAGTGACCCCTGCCTCCTCTCAGGTGCCTGCAGGAATGCAGTGCTTTCAGTGATGGACTCTCTTCCAATGAGCAGTGGTCCTCCGTCACTGGGCGGGGCTGCCTGTGACATGCTCATTGGCGAGTGGTTCAAAGGTGGGCGGTTACAAGAGTCTTGGCTCTTCCAGGTGTGCATAAAGAATTTTTAAAAGATGCATCCCGTGATCAGAAATGGTTATCTAGAAAGCATCTGCCCAAGAGGCACCTTCCAGTTAAAAGCAACAGCACATCACATTTGCAAGGGCCCTGTGCAACTTCGGTAGAATAACTCAACTTTCATATAGCAAGGGCTATTTTAATAGCTCTAGCTAAGCAGACCAGATTCTTAAAGTAAAGAGTTACTTAACAGATGGCTACATACCACAACACACCAACCTGTTGACTCTGTTGACAACCTGTTGACAGAGTCAACCTGTTGACTCTGTTGGTCAGAGTCAACAGGTGATAATGTAAGAGATAAAGGGCATCAAAAAGTCAGCTTCTGTGACAGAGTGCACAGAATCTGTAGTTATGCAGACAGTATAAGATGGCCAGTGTGTTTGAGGACTGTAGCCTACTTTTTCAATGGATTCTTACTTGTTAATGTTTGTTATAAACAACCTTATGCAATTAAGATGCTGCTATGTTGTAATACCCCCTATCCCATCCATGTTTTGAATTTGTTTGAGAAGCTCCTTGCAATTAAATGGATAATTTCTGCAGGAAGACACAAGCATCACCCATATCTCTGAGGTAGTGGTGCATGTATAGAGGGGACCCCAACATCCTCAATCTCCTGGAGGATCTGTGTTAGGGAACACCCTGAAATGCATTAACTTTCGTCTTTATTCCAACGTTCCTGATTCTTAATTAACTTGTCTGAAATTTGCAAAAACTAACCCAACTTCATTGTTCCAAAAAAACTGAACATTTCTAAATGCTACTCCAATAATACCGTGGGTAAAGATGATAAAATTAGTTTGAAAGAGAAATTGTTTATTTTTCATTCACCTGTAATGAAAGTGCAATATGCCCCCACCCCCCAAGGCGGCAAAAAAAAAAAAATCAAGAAAAGGTCAGGCCACCCGATGAACATCCCATCCCAGACATTGCCGACTGTTTCCAGTATCAATCCGAGCATGTTCTTGCCATTCATTTTCTCCACCACTGCACGCCTGGTCCTGGACCTGTGGCACTGGTAGATACTGCCTGGAGACTGGACCCTACACTCCAGAGGTACAGTCACTCGACCCTAGACCACAGGCCTCAAGACTCGTGTTCCAACAGCGCCTGTGCTCTCTCATCCCTCACCTACTCTTACACTGTACTGCACAGACTGTTTCAAATCTCAACCTGGCGATGCAACATGTTAATTGTGCTTCTTCACCATGGGCACAAGTATGTACTTGACAATGTGGATACCATGTAGTACTGGGAACACCCTGCTTCATGTTGTTTTTATTTTACTTTTTGTACCACTAATACCCTTGTACTTACACATAATATAATTTTTCTGCACTGCATGTTCACCAGAGTAAAAGCATGTACTAGGTAATTAAATGATTAAATAGGATTGTGCTGGCCAATATTGCATTTCTGATTTAAAATTGGACTATTGAGTTGAGACAAGTCCAATAATGTCGTGTTTTACCATCAGTATAAATGGGCCTTGATAAAAGCACACAAAAAATCTCTCTTGGCTGTTCTTTGTCCTAGGGAACCCATTCCCTCCTCCAAAACTTATTTTCGGTTACACAACCTCACAACTAATTGGTAGAAGAACATGACCTTTATGTAGAAAGCACATCAAAGGTAATAGATTTATAATATGTACAGAATATAGAAAGGTCAAGTTCCTACCGCTGGATCAAACATGCAGGTCAGGGGTGCCCAACCACTAACCCAGAGGCCCAGAGCAGATGCTGGATTCTTATCTTAATGACCCGAATCAGCTCGTTAGCATCTTAATTGGGCCAATTGAACAGCTTCTCCCAGCTCTTCAGGCACTGCCGATTTAACCAGACCTAGAAGACCAGCTGACACTGGACACCATTTCCCCAGAGGGCCTTCATACTAACTGTGGAATTGGGAGACCTGCTAAAAATCAGCTGAGATTTTCCAGACACCTTTATAAAGAAGATGGGGAAATTCAGAACCATCTGACCGTCCAGCACGTGTCACACTTGTATTTCTAGCTCTAGGAGTATTTCCAGCCAATTTAATCATATCATTTATTCCCAACAGCTGCTGGGCCCGAGACAGGGCTGCGTGGACAATGTCGGATTATACCGACTCTTCCAGCTTCTGAGGAAATTAAATTCCTCCTGTTGATGTCAACAGACCCACAGCAATTAAAGTGGGGGCACTTCTCGATTTAAAGGAAGTAATTTACCCTGTATCCTTTTGTTACCATCTTCGCTGGGACATTCTCAGGTCTGTGCACCGATACTTGACCGTACAGAAGCAGTTAGCGTTAGTCCTGTGCATGAGTCTCAGTGAGAGATCGGTCTGGATTCTACTTTGGTCTCTTCTACCAACCCAGTGGATACCTCCCACCTGGGGCTTACTTTACACAGAAAAGGAAAGAGCTGTGAGGCGTTAAGCTGTGAAAACTTCAAGATGAAGTGAACGTCCAACGCCTTCCTCATCGGTTAATTAAGACCCGAGACCCAGTGTACTGCGGAGAAAGCAAAGCTTGTCCAAGTATCAAAGATCGGGTTTCTATCAGACGTCTCCAAAAAAAAAATAATCGGCTCCCCTCGTTATCTCAAACAGAGGACGAAGCTATTTTTCTATCCCACTTGGAAATGTAATCTCAGCTGTCGGTCTTGACTCATGAAATAACTGTTAAATACTTTATACAGTACGTCCCCAGCACCGAATTATCGCACTGAGAGCGTGTGGCGAAAGAGCGATCACCGACTGGACATCAAAGAACCGTCACTCGACATCAGCATCACCTGAGTCGCTTACTAATCGAGCTAGAAACAAAAAAACATCGCTTGAAAACAACAGGGTTTTTTTTTTTAAACAAGCAGTTCGAATCCCTGTTTCCCTGTAGTCTTTGTAGGTGCATTAAGTTAATGATGGGGAGCTCTACAATCGCCAGTATGCGCGCTTCTTTAAACGGTGGTATACACCAGCACATGTTAACAGGTGTCTTTAGATCACGTTGGGGTTATTTTAACCCGTCAAAATTCAAGTTTTTTTGGTGGGGTCTGTCCCCCTCCCAGCTAAGTTGTGCATGAGCAATAAAAATAGATTTAGAACCGATGTTACCGGTTTATTTATTTATGCGCTCTGTGCCGTGTGCATGACAAGCTACTGGTAATCTAAATTTTGATAGAATCGCAGTGGACTGGAGTTGTCTCCCTAATTCTATTAAACGTTTCTAGAGAACATGCTGTTTGTGATGTGAAATATCCACTCAGAGCAACATGTATATAAATCCTACCTTGTTTTTCACTTCGGCCGAAAGTCCATACGCAGGTCCTCTGACGAAATGTCCTGACATGTTTCGTTCACAGTCGATTTAAAAACAAAAAGGAGAAATAGAACAGATTTTGAACAGCAAAATTACAAAACCGTCCGCTCTGCCGCAGTGAAGCTTCACGGGGGTGCGTGGAAGACTTCCTCGTCTCGGTCGCTGTCGTTTTCCCCACTTTAGTTCCCTTTGGAAAAGTTTTGGACCACTTTCCAAAACCTTTCTTTCTGTTTTAAACTCTTCCCATCTGTGTGTCTGCGGGCCTCGCTGCGATTGGCCCAGGACCTGTCCAATCGCAGCGGCCTACTGCTTCTCAGTGATGTCAGCGGGATGGCATTAGGACGGAATCGTGTCACGTTTTCCACCTATGGTGGACTTTGAAGATGCTATCGTTCTGTAGTACATTCATTGTAATACCCCTCTACGTTTTATCAAAACTATTTTTGGAACGATCGTCAACACAAATAAGGCAATCGGTGGCAAATCAAAAAACAATACAATCATTTGTGACCTTTTAGATACGATCATCAGACCGCATTCACTAAACATTCAGCATCAGGCTAAGTTAATCTTCCTCTCGAATGAGAAATAAGCAGTTGACATTCACCTTTTAAAGAAGAGGACCTTTTAATTCATTAGCCCCCAACTGGGAAGTAACAGATTGCGATAAATGGAAAACAGGTTGGGGAAGAGTTTCCCCCTTCTCCCCAGAATCATTATTTTCAGAATGTGTGGTCAAATCAAGAGAATAAGGTGCCTTTTCAATATGCCCAAGGCACTAGTGCACAAATAGGTCCTCAAATTCTTTTCAATATTGTTATTCCTTATTATAGAGCGCTAACAAGGGCTCTCTATCATGAAAGAATGCAAAACCACTTTATCTGTAAGAGGGGACCACTGTATTCATCACTGAAGTGCAGCTTCCTCCTGGGTGATGTGTCCTACTGTCCAGAACAGTGTTGTGGGATCTTTAAAGCCCAAGGGCCTCAACTGCACGGCACGTCCTATAACACGTCTATATATTGTCCTGCTGCCATACTGGATCATTGTATGGGATTTCTGATCCAGGGGGAAGACTGCCACCTGCTGGCCCACCAACACTTACAGTGGACCCGAGTTTCCATTACAGGGCTCTGGCCCTTGTAGTTGCTGAGCTTCCAAGGTCTGACAGCCTCCTGGTTAGAAGGCGTTGACGCTACCGTCACGAGATTCTCACTACAGTAATACCTCATTCAAGGACAAACCACACAGGTTTTTAGGTGCGTCAGCACTGGGGACATTTGAAACAGATCACAGAGCATTTCTTACATGCTAGGGCTCAGATTAACAAGGGTACCAGGAGTAAAAGATAACCATTGGGTTAATTAAACCAACACCACTGTTTCATTGCAATGGCTCATCCAATTAAAATCAATCCATTGACCTTGCCAGGCCATTTCCCCAGTAAACTATTCCTTTCCTTTTCTTTCAGCATTCCCTTCTGCTATGGAATGAAGAGCATTCATAAAGATTTTAAAGTTAATTTCACCTCCAATAGGCAATGATCTGAATTATCAATGTACGTTTTGTTCAAATATTTTAACTCCTGTACTTAAAACTCAACTCTCCAATAATAGGGCACTAGGAGGACTTGTGCAGCCAGAGAGCAAGAGATCACATCATGCCCTGCTCACCGGTCTAGTTGAACAAGTTTCAGATCTGAAGTCTGACCTTGAGAAGGACTGTTTGAACTTGTATAGGTGGGTCCCAGCAGTCAGATACTGGAGTCCTGCACTGGGACCCGACAGCCCTGCAGTCTGGCATGATAAGTCTCTTTTCACATTACAGAATCTGACCTGCTCACACAACTACAAATGTATGAATCTTTGGCTCAACATGAAAACTAAAATGTGCTCAAGAGACCAAAATTAAATGCCTATACATTGCTACTACTGTATTACTAAACATAATGCAGTACTTTAGTATAGTTCAATCATATCCAACAGTGACCCCTGGAACTCAGTGCTATCTCTCCTTTCATAACCACTAAGTATTTTTCCATCAGTCCGATTTTTTTGATAAATCTAGACTTTATGACATTGCACCAATCAGAGCATCACTACAAAGATATCCACAGATGTCTTAAAACCCACTAGAAAAGAAACACTGGCATGATGAGACTGTTATGAAGGAGCTGTATAACTATTGCCAAGTAGAAACTGAAACTGAGGATGGCTTTACACAAAGAGTTGCAGCTGGTTGGAACCAATAACAGTCCTGTTGTCAAAGCCGGCTTGCTTTTTGACAGGATGCTGGGAACAATTAGCTAATTGCATCCAAGAATGAGAAACAGGGGGAGGGAGTGGAGATTCTTCTTAAAAGGAACCTTGAAGTAAAACAAAGCGATTTCTACTTGTCAGGCACAGCACCTCCAAAACACCAGGCTGGTCCACCTTCTAGATGGGGGGTTCAGTGCTGTGGCTCCAGCACAGAACTAGCACTGGTGTGTAAACCGCTCACTGGGGACAAAGCACAGCTTCCAGACCAGGCTTAGCTGCCAGATCCAGCAATTCCACATGATGTCACAGGGTTGGGAACAATGAACTCGTTTTCCTATTTTACACACGTGTGTCGTTCTGGAAGCCCGGGAAATGGAATGTTAAGTGATGGGCCCTGCGAGAAGCTCACAGAGGCATGAATCACTGGCAGTTTTTTTACGTGGGAATCATCTGGATACAATGTACTCTGCAGACAAGCCATGTTTTCTGGAATCAGGAACAAACAAAAAGCACTTTTATTTTTAAATGGACTGTTAATTGGAAGATTGAATGAATTTCAAGTTTTAGAACAGCCATACTCATTAATGAGAACACAGAGGTATAATTAAGGGCAACTGACCATAAGAAATAGTTTGCGAGCACAGAGAAGGTGGGTAGATGAAGAGGGGCGAGAAAGAAGTACAGTGCCTTCCATTTTTACAAAGATGCACAATCAGGATCAGAAGAACCAGGAACCTGACAATAGGATCCATTTCAGGGGGCAGCCTTCATGGGTCACAATTCACCATCATCACTGATGTATGAAGACCTAGAGCTACTGTTAGATTTTGACATATCCAGTATTAGTTTAAGAAAGCCATCAGGGCATATCCAGTCTCAGGATGCTACAAGGCATCAGTTATAAAGGCTTGCTTGCCAAATGTCCCCTTAATGTCTTTGCTTAACCCATTACCTGGAATTCCCCAGGAATTCCCCAGGAATTCAATGGCTCCATGTCCCTATGGAGCTGCGGATTTGGTGGTGGTCCTGCGACAGCTGCTGGAATGGGGATCCAGGGGTCCACATACAACTCTGCTCAGTCACCAGGAGGAAAGTTTAAAAAAAAAGCCCAACATCACCAGGAAAGATCCCCGCAGCTCCTGAACCTACAGTGGAATGCCGCACTGGAAGAGTGAAATGAATGGAACCATAGTGTAATATGTGTACAGTATTATGATGTATTAAGAGCTCCATGTTTTTAGAACTCACAAGAAGGAAAGAGGGGCACAGTGGTGACATCACAGCACTGGGATGAATTCTGGACCTGCGGTGCCATCTGTGTGGAGTTTGTATGTTCTGTGTTCACACGGGTTTCCTCCAGGTGCTTCAGTTTCCGCCCACACTCTAAAACCATACTAGTAGGTTAATTGGCTTCTGGGAAAAGTGGCCCTGGTGTGAGTTTGTTTTTGTCTGTGTGCGCCCTGCATGGGACTAGTGTCTTGTCCAGGGTCCTGCCTTTCGCCTGTTGCTTGCTGGGATAGGCTCTAGCTCCCCCACACAGTGTAGTGGATAAATCGCCACAAGGAGATTGAAGGATTCCCTCAGTGTGAGCACGAGTTAGGGGCAGATCTGTGGCTACATGACTAAGGACTGTCTGAATTTCAGTGGCAGACACCAGCTCAGTGCACAAAGCCAGCCCATCCCAGGCAAACACGACTGCTAATTGCAATGCAATTGAGGGCTTCTGAAGTCAATTGCTGAGAGCTGTGTTTACTGTACTTGGCTTCTGAGTTTACAGAGATGGGAAGTGGGTGGGTTTTTTTTAAGAGGCTTCTCTGTTTTAAATTAAAACTAACAATGGTGGGGTTTTTTTTATTAGCTTCTGCGGGAACAGGCTGGGTTTATTGGTTACACAGATCACTACCCTGCCAATATTGTCTGGCTGTGTAAAAGAGCAATTCTAATCCCAGTCCTGAAAGCGTCAGGTCAGAATTTCCACTTGCCTGCGTTTCCCTGTTGAGCTTGGATGCAGCTCCTCGCGTGGGGTTTTTTTTTTTCTTTTTTAACCTTTTCAAAATCTGGAACTGAACCTCATAGGCAGGTCCTTCTTTTCAAGACTAAAGAGGTTTTGCCGCTTTATTCTGTGTGTATGTGTGGGGGCATTCAGAGCCCCCCACGTGTGTAAGATCTCCATTTGGACTGGACTGAGTCAGTCCAGCTGATCTAAAATCAAAGGTGTGCGAACTCCAACACAATGTGCCAAACTGCTGGAAGTGCTTTAGTCATCACCCGTTTTCCAGACCGAAAAAATGTCATGCAAGTAGTGCGTCAATTAAGCAATTAAGTGCTCAGCTGGCATCAGGGGACCCCGCCGCCCTCAGATAAAGAGAGGAGGGCATCCTGGTTCTCAAGCGGTGACACCACATGGTCGGTAAAGACTTTGCGGAATTCTCGGAAGTTCGAGGGCACAAATAAAAGGTTTTGGGTTTTCTAATTTGTGTCATTTTAAGTTTACCAGTTGTCCTCCTTTCCCAAAATAGCACATGAGCAAAAAAAAAAAGTTACCAAGTCGGGTTTTATAAATCAGAGGAGAACTATAGCTACATCACACTTGGCCCTGCTGAAAGTAACTGTCTATTTATAGGAAGAGCCGGACGAAGCTGCTATATGAAGTGTGTCATCTCATAGCGGGTGAAGGTGCAACTCGGAATGTGATATTTGCGTGTAAATGGACCCTGTCGTGCGCTCTTCGTGCTGTAGCTTTAATAAAAACACGGTTTAAGCTCTCAGTGAGTGGCGTTACTGGGTCGGCTTTACTTTCGCATTCTTTTGGGGCAGAAAAAGCGGCACAGACGCGGTCGTAGCTTTGCCTTATAAGTCCGCCTGGGATAACTTCAGTGCGCACTGACAACAAAGTGATTCCCTACTTTATATAATAAAACCCGGCCAAAGGGGAGCGATTTCATCTCCGGGGTGGATATTGTGCCGTTTTACTCA